ATTTGTGGATTGAGTATTCATTAAAAGAATGTATCAAAACAATCCAATTTTGGACATGCTCCACATGTTAGATGACTTAGGTGCAGACTATCAAGCTGGTGATTCTCGTAGTATCATTCATTAAATGCAATGATTTCATTTTCACAGAATGGATTCTGTCATTAAGGAACTTTGTGATGACAGGGAGGAATCTGAATTCAGTGACAGGTAGTTAAAAAACACTTGCTTGGATTTTGTAGTTTATGGTGCTTTGGTGTTACACAAACAGAATTTATACAGAAATTCATGAAAAGCTTTACAGATTTTGGTTTGTTGCCTTTTACATAAAATGTACTGCCTCGTCATTTTTCTAAAGCACATTTAAAAATATTTTGTTTATGTTTTGGATGTAGCATTAAAGAGCCACAAATTGACCTAGGTATAATTTTGTCCAAAAAACTTTGGCACACTCTAATTTAGCATACTTTCATGATTTCATTCAAAACCAGAGAGCCTTTTGAACAATTTTTTTCATCAAGTGCATTACATAAATTGTTTGTTTTAATTTTCTGTTCCAGTGAGGGTAACTATTCTGCAGCTGAGAATGAGTATAATGCTGTTGACATGGATATCAGCATAGCAGATGAGGAAGCAACCCTGACAATGGTGGATGACCCCTTCCTTTCAGTATGTGAAATACCTTTGCCAGGACAGCCATTCCAATCAGCTCAGCACTCCACACTTGAAGCATCACAGTGCACTGAAATTCCAGTTTAAGATGAATCATCCCACTCCTTGTATGCCCAGGAACCCCTGCAGTTTCACAGCTGACCTCAGAGCAATGTTTGGAACATGCCCTGCCCTTCAATCTCCCAGCATCCCGAACAGTTGGCTTTAGATCGGCCTTTGGAACACTCTAGTCAAACCAGTGAAAGGGTTGCAAATGCTCTAAAACCATCAGAGAAGGAAAAAGATGAAACTTTGGCAGAGAATGCCCCAAAAGTGTTGCAGGACCTGGAAAATGCATTCACTGGGTTGATGTCTTTCAGCAACCTTGAACTTAAAAGCTATTCCCACTGAGCTCACATGCACTCAGCTTCCCCAGAAGTGGAATGTACCTTCTGGAAGTTCAAAAACTTTAGATAAAGCAGTCAAGTTTGATCATCTGCTGTTCGAAAAAGCTGATTTTATCAAGACAAGCAAGAGGTGTTTAGTTAAAGGAATTAGGGAGGAATATTGTGCCACTCCACCATTTGCCCTGACTGTCACAGAGGAAGAGATCAAAAGGATGAGTAATGCATTCAGGGAAGTCACCCGGGCTTCACTTTTTTGCAAAGCTCTTGAATCAAGCAGTTACAAACCTTGTGAATTATTTAACACTTCTTGTAGTAGGCAAAAAAGACAAAGACTACCAGAGGAGTGCACTGGCAATTTGGAACAAACGCCAGAGTACATATTGGTTGAAGAAATTTTAAAAATGTACCCAGTGGCTATTGTCCTCCTGCAGATTTGAATGATGAGCAGCTTAACCATGCCATAAAATCTGTTGGTGTGACAGTATCTGCTGCTAAAGAAATCTGTCTCAGTACCATGCAGCAAAGCAAAGATCATCGCTGGT